TAAAATGAACTAATGGCCTTCCCTTTTATAGGCAAAAAAGTCTTGACCTCTTAGGTGTAAAAGAAGAGATACAACTTGTGCAAATGATGTCCAACACACAATGCAATATTTTTGGGTCCCAAAGAATATTGCCAACAAAGTCTACACTTTGCAAAGATACTTATGCTTATGTGAGATGGACTCCATTTGACAAAATAATGGCCATATTACAAATTTCCACCTTGGCCTAATTTTGGATGATATAGTAAATTTGCTCCACCTCTCCGCAAAAGCCCCAATGGGCATATGTCAAAATTTAATGCCATCAAAATCAGACAAATTGTTTGATACCGAAACTGTAGTAGGGTCTATAACAATGGATCCCAATAAAGTATACAACGAACCAGATCTGTGTGCTTTCATGATCAAACGAGCACCTTGAAAAATTTTCAGAACTCCACCTTCACTAGTGAATTTGCACCCAATGGATTCTAAAGTGCCTAGAGAGATGAGATTTTTCTTCAACTCAGGAACATATCTAACATCAGTGAGAGTTCTCACCACATCATCGTGCATTCTGACCCGAATTGTACCTTTTCCAATAACGTTATAGCTTAACCCATCTAAAGTTGGGCTGATTTTTAGCCTAAATTGATCCATGAGTAGATTTGCTAAAATATTTTTAAAATAATTCATTTTTGTTTGATATGTTATATATGACCATAACAAAAGAAAAAAAGTCTTATTTTATAATTAAATAATTAATAAGAAAATAATACACATTAATTTAAGTTTTATAAAAGTTGGACGGGTTGGGGCTATGACCCAAATTTTAGTCCATCTTGACCGAGTTCATCTCATCCCAAGTAACTTTTGGACGGATCATTTATTGGTTCAAACTATTTTGACTCGTCCAAAATCAGCCCAGCTCGCCCATTTGACACCCCTAAATCTTTATATACTTTAGCAGAATAGTACCTATAGTTATATGATATATTTTCACAAATAGTATTTAGAACAGAGAATTACCTTCTATATGCATTAAAAGTACTTACTCATTTTTCCCTTTCTTTTTCTATTAAATTTGCACTGCCCAATTCCAATGGACATTATGATCGATATCAGAGCCGAAGGCAGGATTCAACAGTGAGCCTATCACTCTTCTGCCATGGTGGGCTGTTTATTTGCTTTTAGTGTTTTATACTCTTCCATTACAATTTAGATGACACATTTTTCTTATTAGGTCGTTCCAAAAAGAATGATACATTTCTATAATTGAAAATTAATAATTCAACTGTGCACTTTTTATTTTACCCATTTTACTTTTAATGAGAAGCTTTTATAACCACACAAATGTCATGGTCTCACAAAACTTTTACCCCTTAAGCTTTTAAGACCGCAAGTTTTAAAAGTCTCCCTCTTTTCTCTTAAACTCCACGCCGAGTCAAACTACCTCATCTAAATTGAAACAGAAGGAGCACTTGTTATGTCGGGATGTATTCCATGTAAACATATAAATGATCCTATGACTCTGTGATTGGGGTTAGACTTGTGTATTTGATGTTTTATACTTAAATGCCACACAAGAGGGGGGGGAGGGGGATGATTTGTGTGGTGTTTAATTTTCGCGTGCACTGATTATAGAAGGACATATTCTTCTATGTGTTCCTTATACTACTGTTGCAGAAATAGTAAATGTGAAAAGTAAAGAAAATAAGTATTTTTACCTGAAAAATACCCGGCTTAAAAAGTAAAAAAATCACGACCTACTACTGAGTAGGATATTTCCCAACACTTCACTAAATCACTGAGCCAAAACAGCATTTATAAAACTCTTTGTAAACCTAAGGATTACCTCTAATCCCGTTGTGGCAACAAACCTCTAACTGTTGCGACAACTTCAAGTTAACTCTAACTTGAATACTCAGAGTATCTAATACAATTGCCTCTAGATAAAGCTGAAAGGTACAATTTGAAAACACCTACTACAATGAAACTAGAATAAAAGACAGACACTTGGAACTGGGTCTTCTATCAGGTTCATGTAGTTTCAGGCTCGCTCACTTGAATCACACAAGAATTACTTGCAAAATGCCTTTCTATTTTGTTCTCAACTCAAGTTTAACTTCAGCGTTTGTGCGTACCTATAAAATGAGAACATCCTGCAATTTATAGAGTTAGTAGAATTGGAAATAACTAGAGTTCCAATGCTATACTCTTCCTTGGTGGAAGAGTTCTAGTTATCTTCAACTTCTAACCCCTCCCTTATCTTGGATAAAGTTGTCTTCGAGTAAGGAGTCCTTCTCCTTATTATTTATGCAACCTTTTCGATCAGGAGATATCTTATATAACAACTTAAGCTTATCTCCTTCACGTGCATCCCTTATGCTCGAATCTGCCTTTGTCTGTGTACAAGGTGTATGGACCTAGTTCATGATTGAGTTCCTTTGTCAATCATCAAAACAAACTTCACTTGGGCCAATATATTTTCCCTTTTTGATGATGACAAACTCTGTGCTTTTCATAAGAATAGGCCATGTGTCAACTCAACTCAATATCAACACAATGTTAGAGAACTTTCCATTTTAAAATCACAAATCATCAAGGACTAGGTTCATTAGGTTATAAACATCACAGTCCAAAGTAAGAAGCACAACCTATCTTCCCCCTTTTGGCATCATCGAAAATTTGCATAATTATGTTAGATAACCTGATTTTAATAGAAATTACTCAATTACTCATAGCCACTGGGGCTACTTCAAATGCAATCATTGAGTCAAGCACCATTTATCAATCTAATGATATTAGCCATCTAAGAAGCATCAACAAACAGTTAGAGCACAAAAACAGTTGATTATCATTGATACTAGTCATCCACAAAGCACAAAGAGAAATAAAAACACTGGATCATGAGCAAAAAGAACAAAAAGAAATTTCATCCGGGTAACTGGTTTGTCTAACTAGGCTAGAAAGGTTTCAAGGCCGGGAAGGACCAGGTTCTTGGTTTCTGGCCTGAAGTAGCTTCAGTATATCATGAAGAATACCATCATTCTTCTCCTTCTCCTTTGCAAGCTCATCCTTGAGAGCATCCCTCTCAGTTTCTACTTCAGTCAGCCTCTTCTTCAACCTCTCAAATTTCAGCATCCTTAGCCCCACTTTCTTGCACCAAGGATCGCACTTTGCTGTTCATAGGTATCTTTTTGGATGAATTGAGTTCTTTGGGAGTGGTGTGGACTTCATAGTCACAAGTAGTCAAAGTGGTTGCCCCAAAGTGATCCTTGCTTATACCAACTTCACATTTCTTGATGGGTACCTTGAAGTGTGCAAGTACAACCGTGAGAATGAAACAATAGGGTATGACATGAGTTTTGGTGCCAGTCAGAATCCTATCAAGTAGTTGGATGATAAACCCGAGATAATTTATTTTCCTTCCACTGTCCAAATATTTCATAAGGACCAGGTCCATGAATGTGGCAATTTGCCTTCTTTCCTGCCTAGGCAGCACAACTTTGTTAATAAATTCGAACAACACTTTGTGGGGTGGCTTCATCTCACTTTTGTATATAGCCTTGGGCTGGAGCTTTTCTTCGTTGTCACCAAACTTCTTTGTAATGGCAAGGGAGGTATGAAGATTCTCTAAACTTGGCCATTTGAGTTTCTTGTAATTATTGTACCCTTCAGCAGGTACACCTAAGATCTCTCCCAATTCCTTGTCATCAAAACTCAGTGTCACCCCCTTCACCATACTGGTGACTCTGCCATTTTTTATCTCATAATTTTCCATGAACTCCACATTCTCAGTTCTGGCAAGATTTCCATCTATCTGAAGGACCATTTCCTTCCAACCCTGCAGTTGTAACTTTTCCAGCAGCAGCATCATGCCTTACTCCTCCAATTCCATGAGGAGTCTACTTTTCAAGATGGTTCTTTTTCCAAACTTAACCATCTTGTCCTTCTCTGCATCAGATTCTTCTTCTCCTTCACTCTCTTCTTCTTCCATCATTTTCACTTTTCTAGACTTCAAGGTAGACCTGTTCTTTTAGCCAAGGTAGAGGGCTCTGCAGACTTTATCTTTGAAACAGACTTCTTTGTGTAAGTCTTGATTTCCTTTGCCTTTGGAGTCACAACATCCATTTCTTCTGCATCCCCTTCATCACGAAGAACCAGGTTCATCTCTTCAATTTCAACTACCTCAACAGGCTCAACCACCTTCTTTTTTCCCTTTGCAACAACTTTTCTCTTACTGTCTTCTAGGGCCTTTTCCAGTTCAGCCTCACTCTGCTT